TGTGTGTGTGTGTGTGTGTGTGTGTGTGTGTGTGTGTATATACAGATAAAGACGGATGGATGGATGGATGGATGGATGGATGGATGGATGGATGGATGGATGGATGGATGGATGGATGTCATATTTGGAGTGTTTGTGCTTCTTATTCAAGATGTATGGGCTGAAATCAAATATTTGTAGATTAAATAAAATTCCAGTCAATAACTCATTACATTTTATGCCATTAAAAAGTAAATATTATATATAATGGGAGGATACAGAAGAACAAATTATTATTATTATTATTTTTACAAACTGTTCTTTTAGTTCTGTAGTTGAGAATTCTTCATGTTTGAAACCAATTTTCAACATAAGTACACTTTATATTTTTGTGTTTTAAACCTCACTAACTAAAAATACGATGCCAGTTATCTGGTAGGTTTTGAAAAGGTTCAGGTCAAATTTTGACTTAATCAAGAAACCAAAAAAAAAAAAAAAGAAGCCTTTTAAACAATTTGGGAAACAAAAAAAATAAATATGAAAACGATGTACAAAAAATAGCTCTAAGTGTTGAAATTCACAAAAAGTCATGACAAAAAAAAAAAGTATTATTTTTACAAAAAATGTATTTCTAAGATTAATTTGCGCTGATGATGCTGCAGAATAAAAACAACCATCACAGTCATTAAGAGGTATCGCTGAAGCACAGCCTTGTCAAGTCTCCAGACCGATATGATCAGGCTTTTTGATTAAAGCAGCATAAATTCATCCAAGATGGCCGCAGGTGCACGTCAGCGTCTGTTTTTTCACTGCGTCTCGACTGTTTTTTAATGGTATAAAAGGGCTTTCATATAATGTAAGGGGTTGAAACCGGGTGCTATCACAGTGACATTTTATCCTGCTCCGGTGTGATTTACATGGCCTGTGTTTCAGATCTTAAATTGCAATCGTTTTAAATTGTTATTATTAAAACTATTGCCCTTTACTGTTATATTGTATTGTATTGTTATATTGTGAAAGAGGTCTTGATCTCCATGATTTTTTAATCTGGTCAAATAAAGGTATTCAAAAAAAAAAAAAAAAAATCACATTTAAAACACTTTGCCCAAAATTTCCTGACGATCCATCCCGCTCCTGTAGAGACACATGAACCAAAGAGATGAGCTGACTGATGGATTTTCTCATCTCCAACGTCACACAGAGTAAAAAGCAGAGCTGCGCTGCTCAATTCGAAACACAGAAACCAAACAAAATGTGGCAAAGCTCCTCATCAGATACCATCTCACCGGCGGAGCAGGGAGTACCGAGTCGATTGGTTGGAGATTTTGTTTCGCTGCATTCTCCAGAAGCCCCTTTTAAGCTTCGTTTATTGTCTCTTTTGTGCACCCAGCTGAAAACCATACCAAATCAAGCAAAGAATGTTCAAAGCCACGACTGCCAATGTCTATTTACAATCAAGCAGAGAGCACTTTCAGTCCACCCTTTTCAAGGAGGAATGAATAAAAATGAAAGAAATGTTTTCACCACGAGTCAAGTATGAGCCTCCGGCAGGATCTAAGGACAAGTCTTGAACTCGTCTTTTTGTAGCCACTTTCATTTATACAGATAAAACTTCAGCTGCACCGATTTCACAAAATTACCTTGTTGTCTCTAGCTGCATGTAATTGATCCTGAGAGTCCCCCCCCCCTCCCCGGACTTTAATAGCACAGGTGTGAGACAAAGCTGAGTCAAGTGCCAGACGTGCTGAAGAGAGATGTGTTATTTACTTGCGGCTCTCAAACGCCGCTCCGTCTGCCTCCTCGCTGACACTTGATATTCCACATGACAAGACTGATGCTTTAAAAGCCTGCATTCTGCTGTGTCCTTTGTGTGGGGTTAACCTTAAGGTGGCGGCACACTGAATGTCAAACCCTCCACATGTGCACCTTTTTAAATGCCACTTCTTTTTTATTTTTCAGCCATGCAACAGGACAGACAAAAGGAATAGGGGGTGGCCATGGAAGGAGGAGGTAAGAGGTAGATGAGGGAGGGGAGTTTTCACTGCACAGCGCACAAAAAAGCAAATGATATACAATCAGTTAAGCTCTGCGGGGGTTCATTTACCACTTGAAGGAAATATGGGGCACTAAATGTGGGTCTTTGCAGGGCTGCAGAACTGATCCAGTCATTTGGTAATGTGCACAATTACACATGGATGAATGGCAGTCTTCAACGTAAGGGAACATTAGGTTCATTCAACATCGTCTGGTCATAACATGATGGTTTTCATGTTTATTTGAGAAATATGACGAGTAAAAAAAATTAAAAACAATTTATTCGGAGCTCAGATCGAATTGAAACCAATGAGAGTTTGCATGTGCACGCCCTCCTCTCGAAGAATTTGACAGAAAGTTGTAGGTCCTAATGTGGTGAAAGACTCGCTGGGAGAGAAGATAAAAATACTTTACGTTTTGAAGTATAAACTGTACAAGAAGACTAAATTTAGAGCAAATCACAAGAGTTTGTTTGAACAAAAGATGTGTATGACATAATCAGTTGAATGCTCCATGAAAAAAAAAAAGGAAATCATTAAAAAAAGTCATCAGATTTTGTAAATACAAATGTTGTAAATACCAAAATGCCTGTTCAGTGACAAAAAGTCCCAACTTTACATGACCCATTTAAACGTTGGATGATATTTGTACTGTGAAGCATCCCTGAGCGACAGAGTTTCAAAGACGGCTTTTCATTAGTCTGCCAAAATCTTGTGTATGTTGGACATTTTTCTGTATTTATATGTTTTATTGCAAATTTTGTCTAACAGCACAATATACTGCAAACAAAAGATTTCACAAGCTGAGCTGCATGTTTTGATGCGTTTTGAACAGTTTCATCTAAAGCTGTGGAAGAAATATTTGAAAGTTAAGAATGGAAACAAAAAAAAAGGCAAAATAGTAATAAGGGTATTTACATGCTTATGTACTGGCACGTTTAATAATTAAAAAAAATAACATATACGAAGGTTATGGGTACTTTGTTAACTGGTGCAAATTTGTGATAAAGCGTCTGATTTAATACTTATTCATATGAATGTTTAAGATGTCTGAAGCTAACGAATTGAAAGAAAGTCATGAGGCGCTTGCTTACAGAGACAATTAAAAAAAACATGTTTTTTATTTAATAATAGTCTGGAAAAACAAATATGACTCTCTTCAATCTTTTCTGTGAATACTCTGAAGTGTGAAACAATCCAAACCCAAAAATCGACCACAAACAAAGAAGCGAAGAGCAAAAATAGCTAGAAATGGTTCAGTGTGTTGTGATTAATTGAGAAAACTGATTCAAAACTATGAGAGTTTCATTCTTTACTTTCCAGAAAAAGGAGAAATTTGACTAATCTGGCTACTTAAGCTCCGGTTTGAAAGTTACAACCTAAAGTTGGGTAACCTAGATCTAGTATAATACCTATTAAACTATTTTCAACAACAACTAGTAAGATTGTCCCAAATCCAAATCACCCATTTTCAGTGGAATGTCAACTACAGGAACACATGAAGCATTGCTCTTTACAGTATATTTCTATTATAGAAATTACAACTGATGCACAACTAAATTGCCAAATTCTACATTTAAATGACAAATGTCTGTGGAAAATTGGTTCTCGCCATTAAACGTTGCCAACTTGGTCATTGTGTTTCAGTCATGGTGATCTTCATGATCATAATCAACATCTGACAAAGGAGATCCAGCTGTTGGTTCAGGATGGTACTCGTATGGATGAATGTCCATTAGAGCCACAACGTGTGCCATGATTTCTTCAAAACCTACATCTTCTGCTTCCACGTTCACTGATAAACAATGCCAGTGTATCCTCCCTATATATCCTAGAGCATTCTATCACAGCTGGTTGTGGCACCGGTGATCAACCAAGGACAGCAACTCTAACCCATTTCAGGATTTTTTACATCAAAATGCTAAAACCACATTGTTAAATTATTAAATCAAAGAAATGGACAACTGGGATTTGTGTGGAGGGGAAGTGTTTAACTAAAATAAATACATAAAAATCCATTATTTTTCTATGTTATTTCATTTCATTTCCCATTTAAACATGTGCAGCAGGATATGGTTTTAAAATTGTGAAAAAGAAATGAATGTTTTAATAGAAATCTTTTTCAATTACTTTCTTTGACATACAACTACTACAATCTACTATTTGATTCAAAGAAAAACAGTCAGTCTTCTTCAATTTAATCTTTTCCTTATGGCTGTCTCAGAAGTGCCATCATTTTCTTCTTCTTTATTAGAGGAAAAGCCTTGAAACGGTTTCCTTGAATGGAGCCCTGATTTTAGGAAAAATTATGTAGATTGAGTGAATGTTAATGTTGGTTAGGCAAAATAATGTGTTTCGGTGCAAGAGACTGCTTCAGTGACAGCATGGTCCAGTGTCTTTGCTCCGTGGCCATGTGGAGGTAAAAAATTGCTTTTGAAAACAAAATCTGTGGAACACAACTGTGTTCTGGAGTCCTAATGGTTGTAAGAAGTTACCTCAAGTTTATCTCCATCTTTTCTCACAAAGTTTTTATCTGAATCATGTTCAAGTTCAAGGTTAATTCGCATCACATGTGGTACACTAAACTGACAGAGCTTTGGTGAAAATGTCCGGCAGAGGAAAAGGATGGAAAGGACTCTGTAAAGTAGGCGCCAAGCGTCACCGTAAAGTCCTCCGTGATAACATCCAGGGAATCGCCAAACCCACTATCCGCCACCTGGCTCGCCACGGTGGAGTGAAGCGCGTCTCCAGTCTGATCTATGAGGAGACCTGCGCTGTCTTTTTATATTTTTGTTATTTGGGGGTGTAATTTACAATGAGTACACAATTTCGTTCCAACTCGTGTTCATTCAACATTTAACCTGTATAAATAAAAGTTGAATGAACATGAGGTGGAACGAAATTGTGTACTCAAGGTCAGTTACACCCAAAATAGCAAAAATATAAAGTATAAAAAGAAACGGTATACAGTAGTCCCTCGTTTATCGTAGGGGATGCGTACCCTAAAGATCTGTGATAAGTGAAAAACCACGAAGTAGGAATAGTAGTACAAGTAGTTTATTTTATTATTTATATAGATATATAGTAAGGCGTTATAAACCCTTCCCACACTCTTGCACTAATGTAAACAATGTTTCAAAACTCTAAAAGAGCACAGAATGTCACGATGTCAGCTCCCTGCCTCCTCAGCTCTTTGCCACCTGCAAGTGCTCTTGGCCACGCCCACTTTTCCACTCTGCACAGTGAACAGCTGATCAGCTGCAGCAGGAAGTTTATCCTGCAGCAGTAAGGGCTGCACAAAGCTGCAGGGGGAAGCTTTTTCTGTAGCTTTGGGCTGCACAAATGAGCAGCAGGTGCTAAATAATTTAAAATAGTTTATTTTAAATAAAAAAATCCATGTCAACTGTGCAGCTCATCCATCAATCAGCCATGTGTCATGTCCAATCTTATTTTGAAAAACCGCGATAGAGCAAATCTGCGAAAAACGAACCGCGAAGTAGCGAGGGACTACTGTACTGTATAAGGATCTAAGATATATACTAAGCATATACACTAAGATATACGTCAAAACAAATGCTAAACATCTAAGCTACACTCAAAACATTAATAGTGTAAATCAATGTGTTGTGAAATATCTGATCTGATTATGAGTCAACCTTTGCCCAAGATGAGATTCTAAAATTCCATTAAAATCAGTATAATATCACCAAGTGATTTTGCAATCAAATTATGATACTTTAAGTTGCTTTTGTTGGACATTTCTGGCTCGAGGTGAGTAACCTGGCCCCTTGAAGCAAGCTGAGTTTGTGTGAGTGTTTTGTCTCTTTATTCAACACTGATGGTGGAGAGAAAATGATTCTGCAAGCAGTGGTTCAAACTGATGAATCACCACTAAAATGATATTTTAACCAGCTGACTAGTCGAGACATTTCCACTTTTGCCTTAGAACAGACTCCCACCAGTGACTTACTGCACATTCAAAAGTAGCAGCACCTTCAAGGCCAACAGAGCGTGACAATGTGTTAATCACAGGATAAATTTGTGTGAAATATAACTTTACCCTTTGACACAGACCTCTCACCCTCTGATGATTACGAAGAGGAGAAGTGACAACCAATGGTGGCGGCGATGACTAATGATAATGGCAAATCTAAGACGACAGCCACTTCAAATTGCCCAGGGATTGAGAATGACCTCTTGACATGTAAGTGAATCGAGCCATTCGAGTGCAGGCGTGCGTCGCAACCGCCTCGTGTGTTTCTGTTTGTCGTTCGGCAAAGCTCTCCTTTTGTGTTGTCGTGAGATTTGCTAAGAGCTTTGCCATTCTCGAAAAGATGGGGACTGGAAGTCAAGCGTCATATCTGATCCCTCGGTGTCCTGTAACAGCTGTCTCTGCCATTGGAGCATGTGGTTGCCGCTATCCCATATTACATCTCTGCCACTCAGCACCAACGGATCAGCAATCCAATTTCACACAAGCGCGCTCAGAGGGAGGTAATGCTGACGTAGGGATGAGGATCTACGCCTCAGGAAAGACAAGACGTTATTGGAAGAGGTTGAGGCATGGTGCACAAAAAGAATTAAAAACACTAATAAAAGGGGGGTGGAAGGAGATGAAAACACGAGGGTTAAAAAGGCCTGAAACCATTTCTAAGACTTTGTTACACTGATCAAAACAATTCTATTTTGGGTAAATCAAAAAGCTTCTAATTACTACACCATACCATTTTATTTATAAAGTGCTTAAAAACACAGCAACAAGGACATAAATTTTGTTTTTGTGGCAGCACAACAGCTCAGAAGATTCTGGGTTTATACCTGGGGTCATTCTGTGTGGAGTTTGCATGTTCTCCTCATGTTTGCATGGATTTTCTCCAGGTACTCCGGTTTCCTCCCACAGTCCAAAGACATGGACGTTGGGCTGCCTTCAGGCCCAGACCTCCCTTGCAAATCTGTAAGCTCAATTGGATTTGCCCCGTTAAATAAAGGTTAATAATATTAATAATTTTGTGATGGTCAAATTAAACAAAAATTTTAATACACTTTATCGGTTTCAAACTCATCCATTTCAGAGGTCATTATTTTAATTTGGTTTAAATTGTTGTATTGCATTAAACAGAGATATCGGGGTGATATTGACAACAGGTGGGCAGATTAGCTAAAACATGAACTGAAGCCCAAAACAGGAAGTGCATCTAGAAGAAGCATCTGATTATTTTTTCAGACATATTAGTGGACTACTAAAATAATAAGTTGTAGCCTTCACCTCAAGATACTATTGCGTAGAGAATCACGAATAGCAGCAATAACATCAGATCACTTTCTCAAAATCTACTAAATTTTAATGTTTATGAATAATAAACTGTTACATTTATGAGCCAAAAAGAAAGAAATGTCTTTATAAACCGTTCATCTCAGTTGTCGGCTGTCCAGTACTGCCAAAGATCAGTGTCAGGTAGTAACTGGTCAACCTCTAATGCAATTGACAACGCAAACAGTGAGATCCCTCCACCCATGCGGAAATGTAACCCAGGGTGAGCTAACCATCGGCATACAAACAAAGATAGCTGTAATGGTGGAGGAAGTGACGCTCACGGCGTTACCTGAGGCATTTGGTGAGGAATTTTTGCCTCATCAGCAACATTAAGGCCAAGAAGACGGGCAAAAACATTATAAGAGACTAATAACTTAAAAGTTACTGCAGTAGATGTTTTCATGCTGCAGAGCTAGAGTTGCTAGAATTTAAAGTGAAACTCAGTACGTCCTGAGTGCACATTTTACATTACACAACCTATTAAAGGATTTGTGCAAAATTGGTTTAGTTACTTTAAGCTGATCATAGCAAATAAAGGCTAAACGTATGCAACCAGAAGTTGCAACATACTGTATATCTACATACAAAACGCACAAACCAAAGTACAATTAGCTTTAAGCATTAACCTTTAATTCAATCATTAAACATAAAGTAATTATGACAGAAAATGGAGGATTTACTTGCAGTTACCTTCGTACAGACGAACATGCGGTACTTCCTGTTTGTTTATCACTTTTGTATTCAGCTTGTCGGCCACAGGGATTTATCCATCTTTTACATTTTTCCAGACTCAGTTTAGGTTTTGGAAATGGAATAAACTGTATTGCACCCTGTAAACACTCAGGGTAACAAGTCTGAATCGCATGTTCCCCATTGACAACTTTTAACTATTTTTTCTGATGATTTTTCACGAAATCCCTTTGAGCACAAGTCAAAGTTTTGCACCATAATGCAAACCCCCAACGATATTGCCGGAGGAAAAGGGGGTGTAGTTCCTGCAGGTAAGGGGCGTTTCACTTTGGGACAAATTGAGATCTCCGATTGGTCAGTTGCTGACGAGCCTTCTGGATTGATTGTCAGGTCAAATCATGTCAATTTGTTCATGGTCAACTTAACATCCCATTTGTGCAAAACGAGTCCAAACCATCAGCCCTCCACCACCATGCTTGACAGTTGATATGAATCTTGTGCTTGTAAGTCTTTTAACTCTACTTTACTTTGGTCTTGCCTGTCTAAATACCATTTAACTGGACGTCTCATGGGTTGTTCAGCTAAAATCTTACAATTTCTTCAACCCTTGTAAATTGTTTGGAAATGACCTGTTAACCTTTGATAAACTGATATGTATCACCAATTATGTTTTTATGAGTATTTTATGCATTATGTTACCTTACACCAAAAATGTTGCCATATTCGTAAAGGTTTTCACTCTTATTGCCAACAAGATGAGCGTGTTTGACTAGAAGAAACTGGTTGCTACTTATTTTCTTATATTCTATGGAAGCATTGAGGGGTACTTTGTATTTTCAAACAACGCCTCTGCACTTTTTCTTTTAAATAAACATTGATTAAATGAAATATGCCATGTGTTGTTGCTCAGCTCAGGTTGCATTTATCTAATTTTAAGCCTGCAATGAAGATTTATTACCTTCAGAATGGAACACAAAATAACATACTTTTTCATCAAGAGTCTAGCAAGGGCAAGTGTAGAGTAAGGAAAAGAAAGACAGTCTCTGAGATGAATATCTGAGATCTGCTCATTGTAAATACACTTCAGCTTGTGCCGTCACATCCGCTGTGCCAGCTTCTGCTCCATCAAAGATCAGAGGGACAATGATCTCTGTATGCTGGTGGGAAAGCAGATGTAGATTCCCCAGCCCTTTGAATACAACACCCTCATATTGCACAGTCATTGTGACATAAATAGAAAAGGGACTTGCATCTCATCTTTCACACCGCAAAGAGAGATTCAGATCTGGTATCCAATGGCTGCTTATTAGATTGAGCTATCGGACCGCCAGTTTGGAGCCAGACTCGTGAGGCAGCCGGTGTGTTGAGAGAGTTTGCTCTCTATTCTCGCCCACACAAAGACAGAAAACTCTGTAAAGAAGGAAGAAACGCAAAACCTAACTGGACAGCCATCTCTTCTGAAGCCTGGGCTTTGCATGCAGGCTTCTGTAACCAGCAGAGACTCATCACACAGCCAGAACTCAGAGCTTTCCCTGTTTTAGAATAGTTATTGCCTTTCGAAAAGTAACCCATCTGTGTCTTGATTATTACTGTCTCTTCAGACTTAAGTTCCGGTGTGTGCATCAAAATCAAGACCAGAAGGCCTTTTTTCCCCCTTTCTTCTTCTTCTTCTTCTTTTGGCTGCTCCCTGCGTTAGGGGTCGCCACAGTGAACTAAGTCGCACAAGGACTTGGCAGTTATTTTTACGCCGGATGCCCTTCTTGACGCAACCACAGACACCGAGCTACCACAGCCCTCTTTGTGGAGCAGAGAGCTGATATCTAGGACACCCAGAGGAGCAGATGGTGGGGGTTAAGGGCCTTGCTCAAGGGCCCAGAGTGGGACGAATGAGAGTGGGGGCAGGTGTGGGTGCTTCACCTATCCCACCCACATTTTTTATGTCGTCGGTACCGGGGCTTGGACCGGCGATCTTCCGATCACAGGCCCACCTTCTCTAACCTCTGCGCCACCACTCCCCTATCAAGACCAGAAGGCCTTACACGGGCGAATTCTGACAAAAATGTGGCTGATTGATTAATTCATTCAACCTTTATTTATACAGGTTAGTCTCTCTAGATGTCTATATAGATAACTTTATAATGTGTCTCTATAGATGATATAGAAGGTCAGGTATGATTCCACCTTTACAGAAAGAAAGAAAGATCCAGGAAGAGCAGTGAATAAAATGGAAAATCTTGTCACACTAAGATTGACAAGCTAGACCAGGGGTCTGCAACCTTTGCAATAAAAAGATACATTTTGCCACTTTGCTACCAATTACGATGCGTCTGGAGCCACAAAACCTGCTACAACTGTGTACTGTCAACTGGTGGCCCCTGGACCACAAGTTTGTTGGAAATGGCTTTTCTGGCCCGTAGGGGTGAGATTATAAAACAAAAAATGTCTTATTATTAACATTTATTGATATTTGTGCATTTTAATACCAAATAAAAGACCAGATTCATGTACAAAAAGAAAAAATTTTTTTTTTTAATAATTTTATAAAAACTAAAATGATGAACTGTGCAGGCCGATGTGAGTTCTCTTAATTGTTGAGGAATTAAGTATCCTACATAACGCATAAAGTTAAAGACAGTATAAAATTAGGTCAGTTTGTTGGATATTTTTTTACATTTTTAAAGAAAAATAGATACTTTAGTTTATTTTGACTTTGTTTTTTGTGTTTTATTCTTAGTATCATCAAATATTCATTCTCAGCAGCTTGTCTTAAAGGTATTCCAAAAATACTCAGGTGGTTTTGAGAAAAAGATCACACTGCGAGACTGGAAGTTGACTTAAAGTAGCTAAACTACTAGCATGATGTTTTACGCCTTGTATTTGTACTATTCTTCACACATTTGAAAATGACAGGAAATCTGATGAAACTAGCCATTTTCATTGTTGACAATATTTTTAATAAAATTCAGTTTCGTTTTAGTTTTGGTCAAAGCCTGAAAGAGCCGCAGCAGAGGTACCAAATATTGGCCCCGGAGCCGCAGGTAGCAGACCCAGAGCTAGACAAAAAAAAGACAACTCTATCTTTGACCCATTTCATTATTCATTATTCTGCCCCACCTTTCAACCGGTTGGTCAACTTTAGGGGCTCCCCCCACTCCTTTAAATCAAAAAGATCACTATCAACAGTTGTCTTCTGAGAGCAAATGATGACAACGTCTCGACTGTGTGAGGAAGCTGTGAGGTTTTCTGATAGGTCTGTCAAAGTTGTGTCTCTTTCCATCCAGCAGATTTCAAACAGATAAAAGTGAGGAGAAAAAAAAAAGTATTTCCTTTTCTACCCGATGACAGTTTGACAGACACACTCCTCACAACGGAGGTGTGTGTCTGTCTTCTCTGCCTCTGTCTGTACAGCTTTGTATCAGAGTCCTTGATTAGCAATCAATGCAGCGTTGCCCGTTTCTACTCGGAGTAGAAAATATTAATTCTCCCTTTATGTCGCGGAGACATC